TGCTTTTATTATTGACGCTGCTTCAAAATGTATCCCACAGACAAGTTGTGGTCCCTGCAGACATCGTGTCCCATGGTGGAACGATGACTGCAGGAATGCTCGCAAAAAGCAGAATAAAGCATGGTGTCTATTGCGTGACTACCCAACTGCAGAGAATCTTATCAATTTCAAACAAGTAAAGTCTCAAGGGCAAAGGACGTTCCGACAGGCTAGGAGAGAAAGCTGGCAGAAGTTTTTGTCAGGCATTAATTCATATACTGATGAAGTTAAGGTCTGGAACAGAGTGAATAGGATAAGAGGCCGACAGACACACTCACTCCCTTTAGTAGACACAGAGGGTAACAGCCTTGAGGATCAAGCAGACTGCCTGGGAGCATACTTTGAACATGTGTCCAGCTCATCGCATTATTCTAACACATTCAAACGATACAAAGAGAGAGTAGAAAGGCAAAAACTTAAACGTAATTGTGAAAAAATTGAGCCATACAACAGGCTTTTCTGCTTGGCTGAGTTGCAGGCAGCGCTAAACTGCTGCAACAAATAAGCCCCAGGCTCTGACCATGTTTTATATCAGATGCTTAAACACTTACCTCAAGAAACACATAAAACTTTCCTTTGTCTGTATAACTCCATATGGGCTTCTGGCGAAATTCCCTCTGCGTGGAAAGAGGCCACAGTAATACCTATTCTTAAACAGGGTAAAGATCCATCTTCCGTATCGAGTTACAGACCTATTGCCCTGACTAGCTGCCTCTGCAAATTATTTGAAAAGATGATAAACTGCCGGTTATTATATTTTTTGGATTCAAACAAACTCCTCGACCAATATCAGTGCGGATTCCGAGAGGGTCGGTCCACCACAGACCATCTCATCCGCATAGAGGTGCAAATACGCGAAGCATTCATTCATAAGCAGTTTTTCCTGTCTCTCTTTCTTGACCTGGACAAGGCATACGATACAACGTGGCATTTTGTAATATTGAGAGACCTCACACATTCAGGTATACGGGGTAATATGCTTAGTGTAATCGAAAATTATCTGTCCAATCGTACATTTCGTGTTCGAGTGGGCAATGCATTGTCACGACCGTTCGTGCAAGAAACGGGAGTACTGCAGGGCGGTGTCCTCAGTTGTACTCTCTTTGTAGTCAGATTGAACTCCCTGCGATCGTGGATCCCACGTAACATCTTTTCAGCATATGTTGATGATCTACAGATAGGTTTTAAATCCTGTAATCTCTCGGCATGCGAGCAAATGGGCAGATGAGAACGGTTTCAGTCCGTTCCACTAAAGAGCTCCACTAAAGAGCTCCTGTGTTGTTTTCTAGAAAGAGAGGCCTCTACCCTGATCCCCATATAGAGTTGCAGGGTGAGCGCGTAGGTGTCAAGAGTGAACAAAAATTTTTAGGCATAATTCTAGACACGAAGCTCGCGTTTATACCACACCTTAAGTACATTAAAGAGAAATGCATGAAAACAATGAACATCCTAAAGGTGCTGTCCCGCACAAGTTGGGGCAGCGACAGAAAATGTCTGATAAGCCTATACAAATACCTTATCCGCACGCGTCTAGACTATGGGGCGATAGTGTACCAGTCCGCACCACCAACGGCATTGAAAATGCTGGACTCTGTCCACCATCTAGGCATTCGCCTTTCTACGGGAGCTTTTCGTACAAGCCCCGTGGAAAGCCTCTATGCAGACTCAGATGAATGGTCGCTACATATACAAAGATTGTACCTGTCTTTTACATATTTTTTGAAGATAACCGCAAAGACCGACCACCCTACATACCCTGCTGTAAATGACACATCCAGCTCCCAGCTCTTTCAAAACCGACCCACATTGAAACAGCCCTTCTCACTGCGTGTTCGAGCCCTAGCTGTGGACACAGGCGTCCCATTGCTCGAACACCGCGTAATGGCTTCTACTACATGGGCCCCGCCATGGCACTGGCAGGTTATAAATTGTGACACATTTTTCATGATTGTGACAAAGCATGCCCCACCCCTACACATTCAGATGTACTTCTGCGAATTGGCACACAAATATACGAATCCTGAATTTTTCACTGATGCGTCAAAGACTCGCGCGGGCGTATCCCACGCAGCGGTGGGCCCATCTTTTTCAGATGTTGGTGTTCTCCACCCTCACACAAGCATTTCTACAGCTGAAGCTTACGCCATACTGGCGGCAGCAAAACACATTAAAGAAACGGAAATAAGTAATGCAGTCATATACACGGATTCATTAAGCATTGTAGAAACTTTAAAAGCCATCAGAAAGTACAAAAATCTTGTCATTGCTTCGCTGTACTCTCTCCTTTGTGCCATTTATGCATCGAAACAGCATGTAGTAGTATGTTGGGTGCCAGGACACTGTGAAATTGAGGGAAACATACTAGCGGATTAGCTCACAACATCAGTCCATGCGAACACTCCGCAGTCATCTGTAGCTGTCCCCGTAAGGGACTTGAAACCCTTTTTGAGAAAAAAGCTTAGGGATTATTGGCAGCATACATGGGACGGACAAGTACATAATAAATTACATTTAATGAAGCCTTACCTTGACTGGCCACCCACATCACAAACACGCCGTACAGAAGTAGCACTCTGTCAGTTACGTATCGGACATACATACAGTACACACTCACACCTTCTGACCGGTGGTGATCCACCAATGTGTGAGAAATGCGGCCGACCCGTTAGTGTCCTACATATTTTGATACCGTGCAGTTCCTATTCTGCAGTGTAGCTCCTATTCGAAAAAATCATTTTCCAACATCCTACCGAGAACAAATGCCTCTTCACCCGGCAATGTTCTTCGGTAGAGATCCACTTTTCAAACATCAATCATTATTCGCAATTTTAAAAGATGTTCGCAACTTCCACGTGATCTACCGTGGTAATCTGTAGAACAACCTCTCACAAGAGGTTGTTGCTGCCATACATTACAAAGCACATGTTTCGCGGCCCTTGGAGACAAGGACACCGGAGAGACATTCGTGCTCTATAATCTCTTCATAGGTTTATCATCAGAACCATTGACTACTAGTTTTCACTCTACACATTTCATGTCACTCTCATAATTTTATTCCCTATATGTTTACCCGCCTTTAGAGTGAGGAATATTAGGCCCTTTTACAGCCACTCATTATACCCATAGCCCAAATCTTTAGTACTGGCGCTCTTTGGCCATAACGTGGCCCTTGCGCAAAGAAACACTATATATCATCATCACCATCGTGTTGCTGTCTAGGTGACTTCTGGTCAGCTGTAATGGCGTCATCTTTTTTCTAGTATTGGTATAGAAAATTGTGTTGTTGCATAGTTCTTTTTTTTACGTAACCACTTGCATTTTAAAGATATGATTCTGCTAGACTGAAGAGCAGTCCTGCTAGACTGCCTATAAATCGGCTTCTTGAGGTGTGTGGGATTTTGTTGCAGTTGGCCTTTAAGAAAGTTAATTGCAAAAGCTAAAGACATTCTTTAAGGACCATGCTTCCTCTGTAGTGATACTGCTTTCGTGTAATGTAACTGCTGGATTCGTCAGATACATTCATCAGTCATTGTGTTTGCCTAATGGGAACAACACGTATGAAATGCATCAGTGTTTTAAATGTGAATGCATGTCTTAGTCGGGCTACGTCAGGTACCATTGGGATCTGTTCATTGCCCTCTGCCATAGCAACAGCTGCAGGCGTGCACGTTTCTAGCAACCGGAGCCCCCAGTATGTCTCTCGCTGTTCGCTCTCTCTTCACCCTGCGCCCCACTTCCCGTCCGCTTGCGCCACTCTCGACCATTCGCTGGCTGGGTGCTTCTCAAGAACATCCAGAAATGTGTGCTCGAGACGTCGCTGTGAAGCGCCAAGACTGAGCCGAGCACGCTGTTTGTTTTGTTCACTTCACAGTATTTTTAACCATGCATGCTAGCTAATAGAGCTGGAAACGCATAGCGCGTCTCTCGAGACAGATAAACGCCACGTGCGGCGAACGGCACTATTGGCTGCACGGTGCAAGAAAAAGAAAGAAACAATTATTCTTCTAATGCTGGGTTCTCGCGTGCGAAACACCGTTATAGACGCTATGCAATGCATTCGCGTTTCCTCACAATTCTCTACGAAGAGATGGGGGAATTTTTTTAATTGTTTTAATTGCCAGGTTTAAGGGGTAACACTCATAAAATTAATGCCATTAACATGCTTATTACAACTCATGTGACAACTCTTGCAATTATATTAGGATTGAGGATCCTCTTTCGTAATTTAGTAAATACAACGTAGGCAAACTGTATGACTGTGCACCAAAAGGTTGCAGTTTACAAGTGATGGTAGCCTGAATTTTTATGGCTCTACCACATTAGGTTTTTCACATTTTCAAGTTTTTGGTTTAAAGATTATTAAAGAAAGAAACAAAAGATCAAAACAGTTTTGTAACATCTCGCAGGTAAAGTGCATGCACACTGTGTACATGCCTGCATACTTGTTTGTAAAAATAGGCGTGTGTGTTTCAATTTTATTGCATCTTTAAGGCCTATCAATATGGCTCTATTTTCGTGATACACTGTAGTACTTCTTTCTCAAAGATATAATCTGGTTGTTCAAAAAAGGGTCACAGGGTTTCCAGAGTACCAAAATAACCATAACACTACGTCTTTCTCCTGTGCTGTATAAACTGTCATCCTGTCGTCAGAAATATCTGTCAACACGCAAAGTATGTTGAGAGCCCTGTGCCCTGCTTTGATCTGCCGCCATCTATCTGATTCTTTATGCTGTTGTTCTCAATATTATGCACTACCAACTAGCCCATCAGTCTGTCCTTTTGAATTCATTTTGTCACGATTCCATTGCCGCTGCTTTGAGTATAAAGCACTGTAATGAATATGTTGTCTAGGTGCATAACGAAGATATTTGTGTGGTGCGCTTAACCTGGCGTCCTAGCCTCTCGGTCTTTAGTTGAAACACTGTCTCGCGTGTGTGAGCTCATGCTTTTTCGTTGCAGAGTTCTGGGCAAACGGGTGACAGAGCTGGAGAACAGGCTCAAGTGTGATGGCACCTGGAGGGTCAACATGCCTCTCTCGAGCACAGGTGATCTAATGGCATTGCGCTCGGCTGGATAAGTTAAGAAAAATTCACTTTGATCGCTTGAAATGGACAGTACTGCACGAGACTGTCTAGTCCTATTGAAAATGCTGTTTTAGCAGCCTTTAGCTTGACCAGATTAATAAGAGGAAAAATGGTGTGGGCTCAGATGAGGCAATGTAATGAAAAGAATGGGTCCCAGTTATTATAAAGGTTGATTAGTCAGGTTAGCAATCTACCTAGCACTTCATTATATAGCTTCCTGAAGAGACCTTCATTTTATAGCTTCCTAACAGCACATGCACTCAGTTGGGTGAAGGGGTCACTGGTCATAGTTTGGATGATCAAGCATGAGGCATGCTTGCACACAGGCTAGTGTTGAATCTCTCTTGCTCTCCCACACACAGGGAAAGGTTTGTCGGAGCTAACACGGGAAAGATCCAGCCCTGACAGCGTTCAGTTTTCGAACTGATTTTTTTATTATCGCGTTGCACCCGCCGCGCGGCCCAAATGCCAACTTCTTCTTCCTTGACGAGCGGCGCATTGAGACGCTACAGGGCTCCCCCCCGTAGAACGAGAGCCGTAGGAATCACCAGAGGAGTCGCCCAGTGGACATGCTTGGATGTTGGCATTTGGACTTTAGATTGAAACCCCGCGGCCGCGAGAGCGGCGATATACGCAGGTTTCAGTCGATCAGCAGCCACGACGTCTTCACGGTCATTGATGTCTAGCGTGAACGTCTTAGGTGTACGATGGAGTACGCGGAATGGGCCATCATAGGCTGGTGTTAGTGGTGGCCATATTTGGTCACGCCGAACGAAGACGTGACTGCAGTCATGCAGATCCTGACTGACGAAGACAGACTGGAGGTGTCGGTCGGCAGGAATCACAGGAGCAAGGTCCCGAAACGTAGTGCGCAGCTCTCGAATGTACGTGGAGGCATCGTGAGTGAAAGGTGGCGATGATGGCTCGAAGAATTCTCCTGGAAGACGCAGGGAAACGCCATAGACTAGTTCGGCTGATGAGCAGCCGAGATCCACTTTCAATGCTGATCGGATGCCCAGAAGTACGAAGGGGAGGTGGTCGAGCCAACGTTCCCTTGGCTGGTGAGCAGTGAGGGCAGCTTTCAGTTGTCGATGAAGCCGTTCGACCATGCCATTGGCGGAAGGATGGTAGGCAGTTGTGTGGATGTGTCGAATGCCCAGGATATTGGCAAGTGCGGTGAAAAGGGCCGATTGAAACTGACGACCGCGATCAGTGGTGACGACAGAAGGGCATCCAAAGCGCGACACCCAGCCGTTTGTGAAAGCCTTGGCAACTGTTGGTGCTGTAATGTCGCACATCGGAAACGCTTCCGGCCATCGGGTGAAGCGATCCACACATGTCAGCAGGTAACAGGCTCCTTGCGATGACGGAAGAGGACCGACGATGTCGAGATGGACGTGAGAAAACCTTGCGTCTGGAGGCCGAAACGGGGATGTTGCCGTGACAGTGTGACGGTGAACTTTAGCACGCTGGCACTCAAGGCAGGTTCGCGCCCAGCGTCGGACATCAGCATTGATGCTTGGCCAAAGGAAACGAGATGTGACTAGCTTCTGGGTCGCACGAATACCAGGATGGCTCATGTTGTGCAATTGATCAAAAATTGCACGACGAAAAGCTGAAGGCACGAAGGGCCGAGGGATACCAGTAGACGTTTCGCACGTTATTAATGAGGTAGAAAATGGAAGCGGGCACTCCGTGAACGATAGAGACGTGGATGAAGAGCGAAGACGATGCAGCTCAGGATCGTTGCTTTGGGCATCTGCTAGCTCTTCCATGTCTAGTGGTGGCTGGGTCGACAAGGCATCGATGCGGGATAGTGCATCAGCAGCAGCATTTTCCGGCCCATGTACGTGTCTGAGATCCACAGTGAACTCGGAAATAAAGCATAGTTGACGGATCTCCCGTGCAGTATAATTGCTGTGATTGCGATGGAAGGCAAACTGTCAGGGGCTTGTGGTCTGTAACGACGTAAAAGTCCCGGCCCTCCAATAAATGACGAAAATGTTTGATGGCGAGGTATACCGCGAGGAGTTCTCGGGCAAATGTACTGTATTTTGTCTCTGGTGGCTTCAGTTTTTGCGAGAAAAACCCAAGGGGCTGCCAACCGGATACGTGCTGCTCGAGAACAGCGCCAACTGCCACGCTTGATGCATCGGTGATGAGACGAAATTGGGGCATCAGGGACGGGATGTATGAGCATGGTAGCGTCTGCCAGAGCCTTCTTGGCAGTGTCGAAGGCAGATGCAGCGTCCTTGGGCCACTCCAGTGGCGCAGCCGGGTCTTTCTTTTTAGCCAATAGGTCGGTCAAGGGCTTTAGGAATGTGGCGCACTTTGGAAGAAAGCGGCGATGGAAGTTTAGTAGGCCCAGAAACTCTCGGAGTCTCTTCAGTGAAGTCGGGGGTGGAAAGTCTTGAATAGCCTTCACTTTGCTGGCGAGTGGTTGGATACCCTTTGGAGTGACAAGGTGGCCTAGGAACTCTATTGTAGTGACGCCGAAGAGGCACTTATTGGGATTAATTACGAAGCCGTAATCATCCAGGCGGTGGAACAGGGTGCGCAGGTGGGCTTCATGCTCAGGGCCGGATGAGCTTGCTACAAGGAGGTCATCAAGGTAGGCAAATACGAAATCGAGACCTCGCGTGACCTCTGTGATAGTGCGCTGAAAGGTCTGTGCAGAGTTGCGCAATCCAAAAGGCATCCTCACATATTCAAACAGACCGAATGGGGTGGTGATGGCCGTCTTCGGAATGTCGGCGGGTTCTACAGGAATCTGATGGTAAGCCTTCATTAAGTCAATCTTAGAGAAGATTGTGCACCCAGCCAAATTTGATGTGAAATCCTGTATGTGAGGAAGTGGATAGCGGTCTGGTAAGGTGTGGGCATTGAGAGCGCGGTAATCCCCACATGGTCTCCAGTCGCCAGGATCTTTCTTCGGCACCATGTGGAGTGGCGACGCCCAGTTGCTGGAGGAAGGCCGCACAATGCCGAGTTCAAGCATGTGCTCAAACTCACGGCGGGCGATGGCGAGGCGTTCTCCAGATAGTCGACGGGGTCGTGTAAAAACGGGAGGTCCAGTGGTCACAATGTGGTGAGTGATGGAATGCTTCACCGGTGACTCTTGGTGTGCGGCTTCGTGATGCTGGGAAAGTCGTCGAGTATTTTTGCATACGGCGAAGCAGGTGTGAGAGCTCGCAGTCCCGTTGGCGAGGAAGTACAGAGTACACCGTTGATGGAGAGGCGGGTGTTGAGATCAATGAGGCGATGAGCATGCATGTCCACAGCAAGGTTGAAAAAACTGAGGAAGTCAGCTCCAAGAACAGCTTGCGAGACGTCAGCGAGGATGAAAATCCAGCGGAACGTACGGCGTAGTCCAAGGTCAAGTGTAAGAGAGCGTTGGCCGTATGTGCGAATGGCGGAATTGTTGATCGCTTGGAGTGGGCAGGTCTGTTCGTTGCGACGGCGATCTTCACACGAGGCCGGTATGACGCTAACCTGGGCTCCTGTGTTGACTAGGAAGCAAGCGCCAGTGGTCTTATCAGAAACATAGAAAAGGCGGCATGACTTTCGACCAGTATCACTTGCCGCCGTCAGTGGCCGGTCGTCGCATTTCCCGAACAGGAGCATGGGCGAGTGCATTTGCGAGCAGAGGCACCGAATCGGCAGTGGTACCAGCACACGGTTGAGGATGAAACGTCCCGCGGCGCGTCGGGTGGCCGAAGTTCCGGAGAACATGGGGGCGTGGAGGAGCGACTGTGTATCTGGAACCTGGATGACGGTCGACGATGCGCAGGTACAAAGTCATCGAGGCGCCTGACAAGGGCGTCCAAACGGTTCTCGATGCTCGCGAGCGCCGGGTCTGCAGCGGTGGCCGGTGGCGGTGTGGTAACGGCATTGAGGCTATGTGCCCGCGAGTAGTCCGCCACTCGGTCAGCCATTTCAGCGAGTGTGTCTAGTGGGACATCTCCTGCAGCTACGAGGACCGAGACCATGCTCTGCGGTAAGCGCTGGAGGAACAACTCACGTAACAGCTTCTCCTCTTGAGGGGCGGAGGGGCCGCCAAGGAGCTGGCACATGCGTCGCAGGAGCTGTGATGGGCGACGGTCACCGAGCTCTGTAGCCATGATGAGCTGTTGGAGTCTGCTGTGTTCGGACTCAGACTTGCGGGAAATTATAGCTGCCTTCAACGTGTCGTAGGGATGGCTCGGGTGTGGCGACGCTAAAATATCAGCTAAGTCGTCGGCTACATCCGGAGGTAAGCAGGATACCAGATGTTAGTGCCTGGTCTGTTGGCTGGTGATTTGCCGTAGACAGAAGTGCGCCTCAACCTGCAGAAACCATGTTCTGGGGCTGTTGGGCCAAAATGGTGGCAGGTTGGCATGTTGAATCGCAGCGACTGCAGCACCGCTAGGTTTGGCGTCTTCTTGGGCGTCAGGACCGGTAGGATTGGTGGCAGAGCCGGCGGGATCCATGCGAAATGATCGAGGCTGTGTGTTCTTTATTGGGTCACCATTAACTGTCGGAGCTAACACGGGAAAGATCCAGCCCTGACAGCGTTCAGTTTTCGAACCGATTTTTTTATTATCGCGTTGCACCCGCCGCGCGGCCCAAATGCCAACTTCTTCTTCCTTGACGAGCGGCGCATTGAGACGCTACAGGTTTTTGCACCAGAGTACAATGTCACTGATGCACACAAGCATGACTGTCATGTCATGCGCTTGCCGAAAACATCTGCAATGTCCGAGTGACACTGTTTAAAGCTGTAGGCATTGGTTTTCGTTGCACCAGACTAACAGTCAATGCAAGGGCAAGTTGTAACACCGAAGAAATATTTTAAAACATGCAAAGCCTTTCGAGGATTTCACTGTCATTAGTAAGATAAGTGAGTTACTCTACTAAGTTGCCTGAATTTAGTGAGCGGAGGTAGAGCTTGGAACATAAATACTGAGCAGTGATGGACCATGTTAGTGCCTGATATGTGACATTATGAATCGCTGTCTTTTCAGATCCAGCAAAACTGGGCAGCAGGAGCAGAGGTGGCAGTTTTGAAGATGGCAATTCATTGTGCATTGGCGCTCTAGAATTATCCACCTCCAAGCCAATGCCAGACAAAGGTTGGTTGCTTGCCTGTAAATGAAGCCTGAATTGAAACTTGCATACAAGTCTGTGCTTGTTACAACAGGCCCATGCGCAACAAATCATCAAAAGTAACAGTCATTCACCAACTTTTATTTGGTTTTGCCTATTTCATACAGCTATTTACAAACGATTTACAAGGGTAATTGCTAACTGAATTGAGACTACATTGGAATTCAATCAACCAAATTTGAAACAAGCAGAATTTCGAACAGGCTACTCAGCAATCAACCACATTCATACTATCAATCAGGTAATAGAGAAATGCTCAGAATACAGCCAACCACTATACATAGCCTTCACGAATTATGAGTAGGTATTTGATTCAGTATAAATATCAGCAGTCATGCAGACACTGCGGAATCAGGCTATCGACAAAGCATATATATTATATAAACATCCTGGAAGAAATCTACAGGGGATCAACTGCCACCATTGTGCTCCATAAAGAAAGCGTCAAAATACTAATCAAGAAGGGGGTAAGGCAGGGTGATACAATCTTCCCAATGCTATTTACCGTGTGCTTACAGGAGGTTTTCAGAGGTCTAGAATGGAAAGAGCTAGGGATAAGTGTTGATGGAGACTACATTAGTTACCTCCATTAGTAATTTGTCCGCTGAGTAACTCAGGGGACAAATTGCAACTCATGATTACGGAGTTAGACAAAGAGAGCAGAAAAGTAGGTCTTACAATGAATCTGCAGAAAACGAAAGTAATGTACAACAACCTCGGAAGAGAACAGCGCTTCGATATAGGTATCAGTGCACTTGAAGTTGTAAAAGAACACGTCTACTTAGAACAGCTAGTAACCGCAGAGACGAACCACGAGATTGAAGTAGCTGTAAGTATAAGAATGAGGTGGAGCACATTCAGCAAGCACTCTCAAACAATGACCAGTAGGTTGCCACTATCCTTCAAGAGGAAGGTACATAACAGCTGCATCTTGCCGGTACTTAGCTACGGAGCCGAAACCTGGAGGCTTGCAAAGAGGGCTCAGCGTAAATTGAGGGTGACGCAGCGAGCGATAGAAATAAAAATGATAAGTGTGACCTTAAGAGACAAGAAAAGAGCAAGGTGGATCAGAGGACAAACTTCGGTTAAGGATATCATAGTTGAAATCAAGAAGAAGAAATGAACATGGGCTGGGTGTGTAGCACATATATAGGATAACTGCTGGTCATTAAGTGTGACTGACTGAATTCCCAAAGAAGGCAAGCAGGTTAGGGGGAGACAGAAAGTTAGGTGGGTAGATGAGATTAGGAAGTTTGCGGCTATAAAGTGGCAGCAGCAAGCACAGGACCGAGTTTACTGGCGGAACATGGGAGAGAGAGAGAGAAACAACATTTATTTACGCATACGGCGTGCGGGAACATGGGAGAGGCCTTAGTCCTGCAGTGAATGTAGTCAGGCTGATGATGTTGATGATGATGATTATTATTTCATAAGTATATAAGGCTTTGCTCTTTACTGGCTGTGCTGCGATAGACAGATAGCCATGGCAGACAAAAGTCATGGCGTTGTTTTTCCTAATGAGGCATACAAAAGTTACTTTTTCCACATCAGTGCGGGCTGACAACGGAGCTGATCAATGCCAGTTAGACTACACTAGTAGGTTTAAGTTGTAGCTGTCAACACCAACAGCCTCTAGCTAAGTCGGTCTGAGGTCAGGTTGATACTGCTTAGTGTGTTGTCACTTGTTGGTACAATTTTGGGATTGTGCTTTGTCACCATAAGCCATATTCTTGGCAGATCACTTTTAGAGGTAACTCTATTTTCACTTGATTTCAAGATTCGAGTGCCAAATACTTCCGGCTGTCTAATAGGCCACAGTGGTCTGGCACTGTGCCAATCATGTTAGAACAGTGGTTTAGGAATGATATTGCTCATAAACCAGATATGTACAGCGCTATACTTGAAGAAGCTAAAATATCGGTGAACGCGATTGCATGTCAGTATCGCTTGTAGTGTTGCCATCGTACAAGTGCTGACCTAACAGCATCTTTAAAAAATATGCACGTTTCACTGAGTAACAAGGTCAATGTTGTAAATGCATAGGGTGAGAAACTACCAGACATCACATGATTCTGAAAGACAGTGGGCTCAACAACAGAGGAATGGCTGGCAAGTAAGTGCCGGGAGAAATTAATTCAAAGCTCATTGGTGAAGCATAACCGAACGTTGAGTTCACACTTGATGTGGCTGTTCGTTGCCTGCCTAAGTTCATGAAATTCTGGCGAATGGACTACTGCTGAGTAAGTGGGTGGATCAGCTAGCTGTGGTCTTAGTACGCGAGTGTGACGATTTCAGTAAATAGCTGAGACTTTTCAAAGCCAGGCATCGCGTGACATTCATGAAGACTGCAGTGAATGCGACGTCAGTGTAGACACCATCTCTGGGTGGAAAATAAATGAGCTGCTAGTGACATTAGTTGCTTCTCCTTCTATTCATCACTGAGCAAGTGCGATCTGCATAAGTTGCAATCAGGCCTATGTTATTGCATGTGTGTATGCTTAGTTAAGAGTGTCTTTCATTATTATGCCACATGTTCTGCTTCTTCTGTTTTCACGATCACAATATCAGGATCTTTGGCATCATCCAAGCAAAAGTTTAAATTAGCAGCGTTGTTTTGACAATTTTTTGGCAATTATGAGTGTAGTCATAGTCGGCACCTCAAAAATTTGCCTTTTCGCTATTGGTTATAGCCGGGATGTTGGATATTATACACTTCAGACAAAGCAAAATTTTTCAAGAGTATACTATATAAGAGTGAAAGATATGATCTGCTTTTCTAGCTCAATCGCTGGCTCAGTTGTGTCTGTAATTTCTTACAAAGCTTGCACTTTTTAGTGAGTGCATTGTAATAGCACTTTTGAGAACATTAGTTGCTATTTTGTACAGAATAAGCGAGACGGAGGCATTTATTGAGCGATGCTATGAGTATATATGATCTCCGAGAGCAAAACCATAGAGTGGTTTGTTGCCATAATAGTAAAACGAGGCGTGCTGCATTTCTGTGATAGCCTTTAGTGGCTCCCTAACAATTACAGAAAATATTATTGCCCAGCAGCTTTAGTTAACCTTTCTGTTTTTCTATAAACACATTTTTCTTGCTAAACTTCCTCCCTCTACTGACGTGCAGATGTTCCACGTTCGGTGATCTCGAGGGAAAACTCGCGAGACGAGGAAGAGGACTGCATAGCGGGCGAGGAGGACCTTCCGCCCGAGCTGCAGAGGCTCCTGTCGGCCGCCATGAAGGAGCTCAAATCACCCCAGCACCGAGCAGCTCCACCTGCCCTCAAAGAAGTGGCCGACCTCGCCTGCTGACACGAGGCGTCACCTGGCAGTGGCATTGGTAGCAAGATCCATCGCCAGTCCAGTGCGTAAATTGCCATCGTAGGACCTGCAAGGCTTGTGGCCGTGGCTTGCTAAAAGAAAACGCACATGAGTCACGAAGCACATATTTTGTTCATCAGTGAGTGCCAATGCCTTGGGACATGCTCAGCGTGTGTTGTTTGTGAAACAAGATCTTGGAAGGGATGCTTTTCACGTTTCGGTGCCACCATATATACACCTTTCTACTGGCGCCTCAGAACATATCTTCTCACGACTGTAGCACATGTGCAGAAAGTGTACAGTTTTCATGGAATGAAACGGGACATCAAAATGTCAAGCATGCTAATAGTGTGCACAATCGCTTGAGATAACCACGTCACATCACTGCGAATGTGGCCTCTAAGATGGCTTTAGATCTAGTGTATATGTATGAGCCAATATGACGGCGGTGTGAATCAACCTCAATATGGGGGAAGAAAAGTATGTGGATTACTTAGTCCTAGATCGCTATGTTTAACTTCATGATTTCTGTTGTAGGTCGTTGCTGTTCCTAGTTCTTTCACGAAGGTGCTCACATGGGCTCGCAATAAGCAATCTCAATGCATCATTGTGATGGACAGCTGGCTATCATCCAACAAATGTCAGGAAGGCGGGGTTGTTGGGAGTGTTGCACAAAGCCATCAATGACAGCAACTTCATTCACAGCATAGAAAATACATAGCACACAGAGCAGAGGCCCAGCACATTGGTTGGTCAGCATACATCTATTTCTTTTTAACTGATTGCAAGGCTGAAAAAGTATATATGTTTGATCTAAACTAATTCACTGTTTACCTTTGTTGTCCTCCCAACCACATAAAAATAATAGGAAATACTGTTAGTTTGTTTAGATGGACACTCTGTTGACTTGTACTGAAGTTCTTCATTTCTACAAGATGAGTGCCTCACTGCATGGTGTGCAATATGGTCTAGTCGCAGCTCCTTATAAAGTCAGCCCCACACATTGACTAAATGGGGGTGGGGGAGGTGCAATTACCCACCCTTTCTTGAAGGAGAAACCTGCGCATGCCTATGGCTCTTGGCGCTTTCGTTAAAGGCAACTTCCTTCGTGTTAGTAGATGTGTTATATTTCTCAGGTGAGATCTTGTGGCTGGCAACTCTTTGAAGCTTTTAGACTCCCTGCAAATGTCCTGCAGGACTCCCTGCGGGACATTTGCAGGGATAGATTTCCCACACATATCAAAACACTTAACAATGACACCACATTACTAGGCATTCAATTGTTCAATGTCATTCGATTATTCGATGTGAGTTGTGTAGCATTTTGGTCTATTGGTAGCAGCCTCATTTACCATGTTAATGTAGTTGGTCTGTAAGATTATTGATTGATTGATTGATTGACCGGCCTTGACATTACAAGGCTGCTCAAGGGCTGCAAGAAGTTAAATAATGGAGGGCCCCAGATGAAATTTGGTCATACGGGTTCTTTGACAAGCATTTAAATTTTAGGTATGGGACAGTTTGTCTCTTACATTCTTACCAAAAAGTCACTACCAAGTCTGGAAAATGAAGCAGTGAGCTGTTTCACTTAACGAAGCATTGTGGCTTCACTTGATAAAAGACATCTGGAAAACAAACTATGGCTCGTGCATGCAGTTGTTCTTGTTGTTCAGCTAAATGAAATCACTTTGAAAAGCCAAACCACGTCTAGACCATAGTCAGATACAATGTAAGGAACAGGCCCCGCCCACACAATCAAAGTGCAACCTTCCATTTATTCCATGACAAAAGAAATGGTAGTTCTTCTCATGAGCTTTGTGGTGGGATCACCAGTCTTTGGGCTCATAATGGTTGTCTAGAGCTCATGCTCATTGGCACGAACTCTTGCTTATCTGCCTTTGAGAGGGGAAATGTCATGAACTTCCAAAGCTGTGACCAATTTTAGTGTTTTTCTATTTCCCTCTATATTACTTTCAGAAATCTCATGCTTATGAAAAAACACTTGGACTGGCTATGGCTTCGATAGTCTCCTCTACTACCATAGCCATTTGAAGACACCAGTGCTTTCAGTCAAATAGACTTCATTTATGATGCGTCACTATTTGAGATGGGTGTCTGTTTGCTTCAAGAGCTGCAAGGAGAAGCACTGCTTGAAAATGAAGTGTGATGTGCAATGAACTGAACTGAACTTGCAGTGGCAGGGCTGCAATTAAAATCGCATCAAATCTTGAGGGCCAAACTCTGAATGTTCATCTCCCCGATTCATTATAGTATATTCATTGTTTGTCTTTTCCTGGTTTGATGACTGCAGCAAGAATCAAGTTGACACACAGTGTTGGTGTGTCTAGGAAACTGCCCTGATTAGAATTCTGCTGGATTACTAGCATTACATTTTGTACCTGTACAAGAAAAGCATTACATCGAGTTGCTTGTTCACTGTTTACTCTTTTGATATGTTCAGAGACTGACATCAGACTATTCTGTAGTCAGTTACAGCCAATTCAATTGTATTGGGACCAAATATATATGAGTTATGAAAGACGCAAGTCACCAACATTGCTTTGTTTAATTACCATTTTCACTTGTGTGAAGTCAGAAGCATTTTTTGCATGTCTTTTTACAAGGTGCATGCCTTGTACAAGGCATGCTGACTATTATACTTGCTGAAGCAGCAAACTGTGCTCAGAGTACCGTACAAAGAAGCTCACCGACTGCTAGCTTGCTGTGAAGCCATTCGTTCACTTATTGTTTCCTCTTACTCTGCACTCTATATGTGCCTCAATGATGCCCCAATTAAACCGACTGACACACCTTTCACTCATGTCCAACTCACAGAATGTTGTTCTGCTTGTGTAGTTGCCCAGAGCACAGCCAGCTGCTACATAACAAAGTTCACAGCACTGTGCTATCAGTTGTGTCCTTGGTATTATCAACTCAACATACCAATGGGCACAAAACAGTGCAACGCAGAACAGCCAACATCATAGAAGTGTGCAGGATTTATGCAGCATGACCCTGTGCCATCTAGTAGCACCTTATGCAAAATTAGCCAGCACCAAGGCACATGCGAGATGCTTAACGAAGCTTTTTCACACTGCTAAGCAGAGTAGTGGTGCTTACAGAAGTAAATTCAGTAAAATGTGTGGCACATGATAAGTGAATGTTACAAGCTAAACGTTGATACTCTATGTTAACTTGTCTTACATTAATTGGCTTTCATGCCACAATGGTGTGTTGGTAAAAGTGTTTCTACAGGATGTGTAAGGTGCAACAATAACCAATAACAATGAAGCTTTCTCAGGATAAAGCATGTGCAGTCAACTATAAATAATTGTGACAGCATCCGGTCTAAAAGCTAGAAGCATGTTACAGTTAGACCTCTTGAACTTGGAAAGAAAATGCTGCTGATCTGTATGCAAGGTTCCCGTAAACATGCGAGCCAAATGTCATTGTACTGCATGCAGACAAGATTATACCAGAGCTTTATGTCAATAACAGCTAGAGATTGCTTGATCTGTTTTTTGCCAGGTCACCAACTACATAGCAAGGAAGCCTCACAGGCACTGGTTAATTTTATGAAAGGCTTACTAGCAGACATATCTTGTAGCTCACGTATCAATTTGTGTAGAAACTGTGGCCAACACAAGGTGCTGCCATAAGCCCCTGCCATGAAAGTCTGGACCACAAGTAGCATCCAATATGTTAAAAAAAAGGACGAATTGCTTGAGGCCATGACATGGTGCAACGTAGCATTTGACGTTACCTCATGTTACCTCCTTGACACCAACCCACCTGACCTTTGTAGCTTATATTGCACTCACAGTGATGAACAGAAAGGTAGTGCTTGCCTTGTGCAGCAGCTGGATGCACTCGAAGATTTTTCTTGACAGGAAATTGGTGAGGCAACATAATAAACTGCAGGGGAATTTGAGGAAGCTCTGACCCCTTTTTCCAACCCCCCGCCACCCCTGAAATTTTTTTTATGCTGTAACCTTTCGGGTGGTACTCAAATATTTACTCCTGCTCACAGCAACTACCAGGTGTGAAAGTTAGCCGTTCTACACACAACCCTCCTCTAAAAAAAAAAATTTCTCGTTGTGGCCCTGGTAAGGTAATTTTAATCTTGGAAGGATTTAACTAGGCCCCCTCAGATCCAAGGAGTAGTAGTTGAAGGCTTCCATTTTTTTTTTTATATTGTTGAGTTTTTTTTTCTTGTACCGTCTCAAAAAGTGTGCATAAGCAATTTTAGTATTTGAACCTGCGGACTCATTATATTGATGTGTGCTGCTCTTAAGTGTTTTGCACTGTTGTTATAGCAGTACACAATAATTTTGAGAGAACTTTTTTAATGTGAGAACGAGGGCGTGGACATTTTGTTAGACTTTTAACAGTGTTCCATGTTATATTTCTGCACTCATGTGCTAACTGTTCACTCAACTGAATTGACATGTAACTTTCGACAAGTTATCGAAACTTATGTGTGACCATAAAGGGCATGATGATAAGGGGCGCGAAAAAAACGACACACAACAGAGAAGAAGTACACAGACGACGCGCGTTGTGTGTCTTTTTTTTCTCTGTTGTGTGTCGTTTTTTTCGCGCCCCTTATCATCATGAACCAGCACCAACTCGCCCAACTTTTTACTTTACTGAGTATAAAGGGCATATGTGAAAGTATTTTATTGTGTGCTGTAATTTACCTAGTCAATGCAGAATAAAACAAATTTCTGATAATTGACTTGACTCATGCTGTTTTTTTTTTGTTCATCAATAGGCATCAGGAGTGAGCATGTAATAATAAGCAGCTTGTTACAGGTGCTGTAGCTAAATGGAACGAAATAGGATTTGAGCAAGACTGCATGGACTGATTACAGTAGACTTGATCAGCTAGCACTTTGAAAGTAATATTTATGGAAAAGCAAATTTGATGAAGGTGGTGCAACATGTATACTGTCAAACCCAGCATCTTGAATGTAAAGAAAATCATGCATAGCAGGCCCTTGAAAAATATCGCACACTGAGAAAAACGCAAGTTCAGCCACACCAAATGAGAAACGAGCATTAGAATCAGTTCAAGACAGTCAAATATGAAGCTGCCTATATGTTAGATTGCTTATGTAGTAGTGCCCTCCAGATTCAAAATGGTACTGAATTGGACATAGTCAATAATATATTTACCCTACCACTTTTGACGTCAGTCACGAAATTAATTGTTTTCTAACGCGTGCGCGGTCAATTCTCACGGAATTGTTAACGTTCATGCTGACGTCACAGATAGGTTTTTGTATTACGGCTTTGTCCAGCAAGCCATTGATTTATTCTGGAGCAAATTACATGCCACAGAGAAAAAAAATTTGCGAAGGTGCATGTCGCGATATACAGCTGGATGGCTCGTTCAGCTAGTTAAGCTCTTATTTTCAAACCATGATTATGGATTATTGGTTTTTGGCAAGTCTCAATCCAGAAGAGTTGTGCTATGTGGTGAAGCACAACAATCGAAGAAAGCAACATTTTACAGTAATAATCCTCAGAACCATAGTTGGCAGCAGGGTTTTCGTTTGGGGGTGCAAACCAATGTTGCAGCGTGGCTGGGGGAGGGGGAGAACACTAGTATAGCTTGGGTGAGGGCAAGTATTCTTGTGAGGTTTGAGGTGGGTGACTGCCCCTTTTTGCACTCGCCCCCCCCCCTGCCATGCCCCAGCTGATTTATCTGATTTAACTGATTTATCCAGGTACAAATGCATATTTAATGAGTTGGGAAATAAGCTATACATTTGAATATGCAATTGCATGTTGCATTTCATATTTTCTCTGGCTGGAGTTTTAGTATTTGAAGTATTTGAGATGAAATACATACATGCGTTTCCGGCATGTAAATAGACCAAAAATATGGTTTTATGGCAGAGCGACACACCCTGTTGAGAACCACCACCTCAAAGGAAAGTTTGCATATAACAGTATCTCTCATTATTATTACATCTTTTTAAAGTTTTAAAGCGCCGCTACCAAGTGCAAACCAAACTAACATTAAAGACCTACTTTATCTTACCAAGTGGAACCTGTGCCACTACTTAGAAGAGACTAGGAATAAGACTTTGTGCATGTATAATTAATTTGTAGAAATCATGACATTTACTTATGTCGATAACAAAACACTGAAAATAAAATTGTTTTGTAGAATAATGTCCTGATTGTTGGAAATAAGGAAACTACTCTCTAAAAATTTCTTGGTATCAGGCACTTGTATTGAAGTTTTAAGCGAACCCTGGCTATATAAACTATGTACAAATACTTTATTTATAATCTGAACTAATTAATATTCACTCTGACATAGGTGTGAAGAAAAAAAAATCAATATTTTTATAAGCCCATAAAAGATGTTATTGAAATTACTAAACTTAGAGTATATCTTTTCAACGTTGTATTTATTTTTAAACATGATTTCAGTGTTAAAAATTTAACATTTAACAGCTGTTGACATTAGGGTTGCCAACTTTCTGTAATAAAAAAAATGTGACCATCCCATCTTTGGGGGGAGGGGGAAGGGCTGATCTGTATAAAAAGTTGGATCTTTCGAAAAAGGAGGCACCATGTTGAGTTTTTGATGTGCATATTGCCAATCATTGTAACAATCTATTCATATGAAAATATTATGAGACCATGTCCGGAACGGCAGTAACCAGGTTATCTTTTTAATCCAGATGCACGATCCAAAGAGGCCGAGCCCGCGTGACATACGATGATGATCACTACAATGGTTTTGTCATACAGATAAAGATGAAGCACATAGTCAGCGCTCACACTATCATCATTGATACACTGTGATCAGGAATGCATACTCCTGAATATTATCACTAAGAAGTCATTATTCTCAAATTCAGGGCATGTGTGCTGTGATTTCATAAGTAAAGCCTGCTAAAAGTTAACAAATATCAAACCATTTTTTAATTTCATATGTGTGCTGGAAAGCCTTAACTGCCCTCCACACTCCTTCATTAAGTTAAAATTACTGCTAAAAGAAAGGAGTTGGGCCCTTCCTGTAATGGCACCGAAATTCAAGATAGTAGCAGCAAAGTTCTCCTACCAGTTCACAGAGTGCATGAAAACTTCCTCAGAAGCCAGAAGGCTTCTGAGAAAGTCCACATGTGCTCCCCTTTTTTTTTGCAAGTGTAATGGGGTCATGTGACCGTGCAAAAATCAAGTGGAGGGTAGGCATCTGTTTCTTGTATGTTGATTTTTTTTAATCAAATGACTTTGAACTGTGTGCTGCTATCGCTGCCGTTTTTGCTGCACTAATCCGTCCATACTTCAGTATACAAAACCCACGAGAGAAAAACGAGGGGTTGAATAGTATTGGAGGGCTCCCTTGAAAGCCACCTTATTTTTAGGAAAATAAGTTTTCTATTTGGTAATATGCTTACTGTGATTTTTTACATCAGCTTTTACTAAAAGGAAGTGTTAGATTATTTACCAAACCACATAACCTGTTATACAGTATGTAGCCCCGTGCAATGGTGTGTACAATTGTACACATTAAATTCGGAGAAATGTCATGCACAGCATGTTTCTTCAAATGGCTTGAAACTCACTGTGCACATTCTTGCAGGCTTCCTGAGTGGACTAATAGCAGTCGCTTAACTTCATCATGCTGCGTATTGCTGCAGAGGATCACTTTGCTGGATACGCTGCAGTGTTCGACGATCGTTCTGGGGGGAGGGGGGGGAGGTTTCTGACAACCAACATAAAGGTTTTTTTTGCTTTGTTCCAAATGAGTGTGATCAAGAATAAAACTGTGCATGCCTTTTGGGCCTATAATATTTGATTCATTTTATGCATTATGTGAATGAGACTGATTACAAAGAAATTAGATGTTTAAATATAATTGCATGCTAATTAACATTAATTACTCAAGTTCACAGAAAACAACACATTCCTTCATCTTCTTTTTTTTTTGAAATGTAATATTGGGTGCCTTGGAATCAAGCCATGCGTTGTTGACACATTTCTAGAGAGTCCATCATAATTGGTGCCCGAAGAGGAGAGCACAGAACTAAATAGCGAGAATGGCTAAAAGAAATGACTGGGCCTTAATGTCAAGATGCATATCTTGGCTGCATGTGCATGAAATATTTGTTGCTTGAGCAAGGTGAAAGCCTATAAGTGTGTAATTATTATCTTTTTTTTTTTTCAAAATGATTTTCTATAGGGTGACACTGTGCCAACACAACAGCTCTGGTGAGAATCCAACAAAGCCTGTAAAAAAGGGAAACACAGAATGCTCTGAAAACGTAGGCATCAAAATGAAGAAATTCAACTTGGACATTAAAAAGAATGATGTCTTCAGTTGGAGTAGTTTGAAATGCACAAGCCAGCGAGAGGCCG